GCCTACAAGAGCACTAAGTGCATCAGCAGGACAGGTCCGCATAGCCCCTGTTATACCAATGCACACCATTCGGTGCAGTTTGCTAAGTTTTGCGGTAGCAGTTCTTTGTGTCGCTTTTGTCCACCATGCCAAGGATGCATATGTTACTATCGGCTTCACAACTGTGTGATTAGTAAGTCATTTTGGGGGAGAGTCCCCATGTCTTCCCGTAAAGTCGCGTGCATGCGAAGAAGGCTCTCATTGCCTTGTTTACGGTTGCATCCAAATGTAAATTCCAGGTGAGTGTCTTATCCAGCCACACCCCCAGGTATTTTGCTTCATTTGAGAGCCCTATTCTAGTGCCGCCCAGAGTAAATTCTGTCATGGATAACTTTTTCTTCCGGGTAAACGGAACCAGAATAGATTTAGTAGGATTAATGGATAATCCTTTGGTGGCACACCATCTTTGCGTAATGCGCAGGGCTTGTTGCATGCGGTTGGATATCGTTTCGCCATGCAGCCCTGTTACACAAATTACCAGATCGTCTGCATAGCCTTATGTTTCAAAGCCATGGTCGTTCAGTAGGAAGAGGAGTTCGTCTATAACCATAGTCCACAGAAGAGGAGAGAGTACATCCCCTTGAGGGCAACATCTTGTGGCTGTAATAGATTCTTCCGTGCCTCCCAGCTCCATCCTGATCTTCCTTGTTTTTAGCATAGAAAGCACCCAATTTGTTATGATGGGGCTCACTCCCTTGCATATCAGGGCATCTCTTATTGCCCTGCATTACGTGTTGTCAAAAGCCCCTGAAATGTCAATGAAGGCACAAAGGGCTATGTTCTTAGACTCCAGAGCCTTTTCGATTTGCGATGTAAGGCTGTGAATGGCAGTCTCAGTGAACTTGCCTGGTTGATAGGCAAATTCAGTGGTCGTTCCGCTAGGTTGACTTCTCTGATGTGTGGATCCAAAATTTTCTCCATGCCTTTTAGGAGAAATGAGCTGAGGCTAATTGGTCTGTAGGATGAAGGCATTTGCTCCGGCTTACCTGCCTTCGGTAAAAATACGACCTTAGCCTCTGTCCATCTACTGCGAATGTGACACAGTAGGAGCGACGCTCTGTATAGTCTGGAAAGGACTGGGGCTATGTAGTTACTTCCTTGTTGGTGTTGACAAGGATAGACCCCATCTGGTCCTGGTGATTTGTATGGGCTGAAGGTATATACCGCCCATTGCACTCTTTCTACCGTGGTAAGTTTAGTTGCAAGGCTTTGCTCTCTACCAGAAGTGCGTGCTGGGACACCCAATTCCGGTAGATAATAGCCCGCTTTGCCGCCCGGGAAGTGAGTGTCTAGCAGAAGTCTGCAAGTCTCTCCCGGATGCTGAGTATATCTACCATCTGGTTTCTTTAGAGTGCCGATCGTATTTTTATGTTCCCTATTTAGTGCTTTTTGGAGGCGTACTGCCTCTGGGAGGCTCTTTATTTCCTCGCAGTGGTTTCGCCAGCTAGCGCTTTTGGATTTCCGCAATTCTTTGTTATAAGAAGTTAGCGCAAGTTTGTACGGATTCCAATCACCCGTATTCTTTCCTATTCCTATTCCTATTCCTATTTTAATAAGAAAAAATATTTTATTAAAAGGAAATGGATTAAACTGTCGATCGAGTGTTTATTTAATTATTATCCAACGACAACATTATGCGATTTCTTATTTTATGCCCAATTTTGGTTAATTGGGTTTCACTTCCTGTATCTATTTCAATATCATCATTATCAATTACAAAACAGCTACAGTATGACGGACTTTTAAAATGTATGCAAATGTTATGCAACGCTGCACATACATTGTCAAATTGCGCCATCTTTTCAAGGGTGTAACGACTTCTTTTATCATTACTGAGAATTTTCCATCGGCCCTTCAAAATACCAATGGTGCGTTCAACAATGCAACGTGCTTTCGACTGAATTTCATTGAACCGCGCTTGACTCGAACCATCTACGGGGTTTCTGAATGGTGTCAAACACCATGGCTCCAAAGGGTAACCTGAGTCTCCTGTTAAATGAGAAAATACATACATATAGAATACTATATTTAAGTATTTGTATAAGTGCATATATAACCTAAAAGCCAGACATTTTTCAAATGATTTCCGATTGTATTCATCCTCTAAAAATCTCCTCTGCGCTGAATGTTTCCACACAAATGAATCATGTGCTGCTCCACCATATTTCGAGTCAATAGCCAAAATTCTATACTCGTGATCACAAATCTGCAAATGTACATTCATATTCATAAGTTTTTCATTTATACATACACATGTATAAATGCATATTATGTATAAATGTGTACATACATATGTATGTGCAACTTACTATCATTGAATTGAGGCTGTGGTATCCTCTCCGATTATAAAACATATGCTCATTTTCAGTTGGTTTTTGAAGAGCAAAATGTGTGCCATCAATACAACCGATAACTGTAAATATAGTTGTAGTTATTAGTACGAAATTGTTAATGATAATGTAATCGGTAAACTTGCCTCCTGGAATTTTATATTTCTGAACAAATGATTCCGTGCACTGAGAAAGGCGGTCTGGCGAAACTTAATGAACTGTGGGCACAATTTTAGAAACTGTGCTTTGGCATACCCCGATCAAAAAGTCGTTTCCAACTAAGTGCTGGTAGCCTCCACTCGCCAAAAGGGACAAAGTTGCCGCTAGTTGAAGCATTGGTGGCACCGCGGTTGATAAATGCCCTTGAAATTTTATTTCCGACAGGACGAAACTAAATGCATCTTTAGAGAGTCTAAAGCGCTTTCTGAATCTGTAAGTGATTTATAAAAATTAATTTAAATGTTATAAAACTTCATTTTCTTACGCTGCGTCAGATAAAGCCATAGGATTGCTTTTATCGCGAATCCTGCACCTTATGGCCTCTTGGTGATGCTCCTCGTCTGAATCCGATGAGCTTGTATAAAAAAATACCACGGGGTTCATTTTAGCGCCTGCAAAACCCAAATTTCATACATTTCCTTAAGAAGATTTCGTACATTTGAATACTTACGTTGGATTTCAATTCAAATACTTTTATTGTTTTGTTTTGTTTTCGCATTTCATGCTATTTGTAAATGTCATTCAGAGAAACGCCAGGGATATTATTGCATAACATTTTATTCGCTTCGTTTCGAATGCGGCGATCCGGCTACTCGACACGTCACGTAATTTTACTCGACGCGATTGCTCGCATGCTCACGGCTGCCGCGATTCGGGCCCTGGTGAGGCGACTACATATGTACATGTCTGTTGATACAGTGATGACAAATGAGGGTGCAACAACATACCCTATAGAGTTTCTAAACTCTTAAGACTTTTCAGGGGTGCCGTCGCACAAATTGCAATTAAAGTTTGGGGTGCCAGTCATATTGATGCATAACCTGGACGCACCTCGATTGTGCAGTGGCACACGCTGAGAAAAAGGATTACTTTCGACAACTAAAGATATTTAGTTCCCGAATTTTAACAATATTTGGGAACTGTTACCAAGGATTGGGAACTATTACCATGTGTTGGTAATTATAACTAAATATATTAAAGCTTCTAATATTTATCTAGGTTGTAGCAAACCGTTAATTTAGTTGAAGGGTTTGGTAAATACTAATAAATATTTCTTTGAAGCATATTTCTACAAATTCCATTCAACTTAACGTATGGTTCATAAAAGGATGTCATTAAGCTCTGCTAATACAGATAACCACGATTTGGTTTGAGAGCGGAACATATTCATGCTTGTGAGCCACCCCTAAATAATGATCAGCGCTCTCTGACCACGTGTGTGTTACATACGAAGAGCGCCAGCTAAGCAATGCACACAGTCCCACTTATTGAATCGTTTGAATGCGCTAGTATGCCGACCATTGCATAAAAACCCCAGTAGAAATCTTAAGCATACAACATCGCTGTTGGTGGCATGAGCTTGCTGCTGTGTATACATGCCAGTATAAATGAACCTTCATTTCCATTTAACACGCGTGGTTTCTCAGAGCGTATGCGTACCTTAATCATACACTTGTACTACTGCTGTATGCATATGGCTGTATTAATGTTTCAAACATACAAAAATGCATTAATGGAACAGTATTAAAGCATTCTTACAAGATATGTATCCCCATATGTAAATGCTACTTTTCTGATACATTTTAATATACGGGGACATACAAACAAGTAGCACTTACATATGCAAACGCATATCTTGTAAAAGCCCGTTTGTGCTGAAAATAGTATCGCACAACACGTCCGTTCACTAAAATTATTGTACAAGACTGAAAATATTACAAAAATTCCACTTCAAATTTATCAAGAAATGTACTTAAAACAACGACAACGTACATTCGCTTGCAATTCGCTAGAATTTGAATTTATTCGTGGAAATTCATGACTACGCATGAATTGTTCACACTAATTCACTCATATAGCAAGCATCCTTCAAGAATGCATACAACCGATTTCTACTGGGACGATTCAATGAATGAGACTGTTACCTTGTTTATACCTACGCAAGAACCGCACCAACAAAAAGCTGATTTGACTCAACACATATTCCTTTATTCAATATTTCTTAAATAATTAATTTGCGCGGTGGACCGAAATGGAAGCGAACAATAATTCAAATTTGTTATAATAATAATTCAAATTTAAAACGGGCTGTATAAAGAAAACCGGCCTTTTTCACTTCGCGTCACGTGAGTGATGTGTTTATACCTGTTTCCTAACCGATGTGAGAAATAAACAAGTAATTTTTAGCAAAAAAAAAACCGACTTCACCTCTTAGGTGTCAAAAAATCAATTTTCACTTTTTGGTTGATTCGGATGGAAGATGAGATGCTTTTTCACGTGGTGAAAAGCAGAAAATCCTAACTTGATTAGAAGTGTACTAAAAATGTAGAGAAAGAAGAGTAAAAATACGACAAAATATAATTTATTGGTAATGAACAAAATACATTGAATTATAAGCTATAAAGACATGATTATACACTAGAAAACGTATTATGGGCCAAAAATAATAATGCTGAGTAGTTTATGTATTTTTCTTTGTTGTCGTTTTCCTTGAGATCTTTTTACGTGTTGATCCTGAGGAAGATGGACCTGGGTCCTCGTCTGGTTTGAGAACATCTTCACTAGTTTTTGCCTTCCGTTTCTTCGATGGCAAATCTTTCGGCAATGGAGCCACAATATCTACTTTAGATATATCCGAAACTAAGCTGCGAAGATTGTGATAGATGTACCACTGACGTTCCAAAGATAAACCGGCTGGTTGTATAACTTTCGGCATTTCAGGATCGATAGGTTTTAACAGAAGCTTAAAGGACTGCACTTCTTCACTGTCTGCGAATTTCTTTGTTTTTACACAATCTGTAGAGATTATGAAATGATGGAATTGCGTTATTCCAACAAGTGACTTGTACAGTTGTTTAAAATAGCTGTCCCATTCATACCAGACGACTTTTTCAGCCGATACAGCTTTATTATAACCCCCAGGTGATGATGCCTCGACACACTGCAGTAAATCTGCACACGTGTCGATGTTACTGACGGCATACTTACTTTTGAAAATATCGAAGTAACGATCAGGCGCGAACTTAGTGTGCCCGGTAAGTAGAAAATTGAATAAAATAGTTTTGTTAAGACCCCGAGCCAAACACCATTGCAGATATGATAGTACAGTGTTATTCTTATTCTGCCCAACACAATTGTCACAGAAAAGAACGAGTGTTTCAATGTCTTTATAGTAGGTTTGCAGGTGATAATGCAGGATGCTCACAACACAGTTAGGTCCTTTACCAACGTCATCTTTTTCGTCTTTCATGTAATTGTACTGTAAAAAAAAAAATTTAAGTAAGATCCTGTAAAGGCGAGCAATTTGAGTTCCTATGATTCAGTTTGAAATTCTAACCTGAACTTTTTGTTTTTCGTCTGTAATTCCGAAGACTCCGCACTTCTTGGTTGCTTTGAAGTATGCTGTACCAGGTTGTTGTGGACTGACAGGGTAGTGAACGGTTTGGGCAAAATCAAATGACTCGTTGATTTCGGGCTCGGTGGAGGTGATCAAGAAATTGATTAAGCTTCTGTGCGCGTTCAATGTCAGTAACACCTTTGGCTTGCGCAATCGATATTGTGTTTCCTATTAAAAGAAAAAATACTGAATTTAATCTCAACGTTTGATACAACTATAAAATGAGAAAATAATGAGCTACTTACCACGGCAGACATCGCAGAGATCATCCGCAGGTTTCATAACTGTAACATGGGGTATGTATTTAGACCATATCCGTCGAAAACTGCAATTACTCATCTTCAATTCGTCATCACTGAGTGAAGAAATGTATTTTCGATAAATTGAGGACTTCGTCTCGCTGGATAGCAGTTTCATTATCCGAAAATCCTTAAATTTTGGGAGTCGTCCGGGCAGTGGAAGAGCCATTAAATCGGCTATAGACTCGATGAATTTAACAGCTTTTTCGATGTCAGCCGGTTTAAATGACTTTGGATGTGTACTCGGTTTATTTGCCAGTCCGTGTTGGCGCACTGTTACACCCTGTGCGTGAAAATGACGTACTAAATTTTCGTAACGCTTCGTCGTACAGGCATGTACAAAAAGGAAAAACGAACGACAAACAGGTACTCTGTAGAAGGTAAATTGAATTCTATGCCTCATAACTTCTGTATCCTGTCTCTGTCCATATTTCTTCCGCCCAGCAAGCTTTGCGTATACACTTTCTAGCTTTTCGTTACTCATAATTCCAGCTTCGATGTGACTTAGTATCACTAAATCAAGTTCATTTTTCGACATCTCTAAACAATTGTTCCGCGTACTCTCGATCATTTCCCGTGGTATCAGTGTATGGCATTCATTATTACAACAATCTTTTGACAGAAATTTTGTTACCAGCTCCTCCTCCTTTACATCAACAACATACAGGCCCATCTTAACAAAAGTTTGTTCGGTATCATCTTCTGTCTGAGATACACATACTTCCTCTTCATCATCATCGCTCTCTTCATAGTTTTCATCATCGTTTTCATCATCCTTTTCATGGAAATATTATCCGTATACGGCACTGAACTCCTCATCAACACTCACGTTTCATTTCATGCGAAATGCGAAGACGATAATCAACAGAAACAGTAAACGTCACTTCTTCAGTGTTACTTTTTTAAATGTTCCACACTAGCAACTTACACGATGAACTATAATAATATTCCGACCAACAACAACACTTACTGGACCAACAACAACACTTACTGGACGTCCGGCGCGGAGAACAATTAACGAGATAATGAGAAACTGACGAAACGAGTTGCTTACTTTTCACAGCTTTTTCACAGAAAACTAGTTTTCGCACGTAAGCTCCCTTTTCGTAGACCAGGTCACATATATATATCTCATGATCCACTGATCGGATCTTAGCCACATTAGTCTGAGACACTACCTTTCCGATGCAAAAAGACGTGGTCCAAAGTTATGCGGTAACATACATAAAAAAAAAAGATTCCGACGAACTGATAACCTCCTCCTTTTTTGGAAGTCGGTTAAAAAGCGATTTGAAAACAAGTTCGAGTCAATACACTTTTGAATTTCTGAACGTATTGAAAGTTTGTTTATGCTTCCGTTTTGAATCACAGCGAACTGGGTCAAAGCGCTTTATGTGTTGGTATAAACAAGGTATGTGTGCGTGGAAATCATTGCTCCGCTACCGCTGTTCGAATATGGGTGAAACACGCGTGTGTTCACAGAGCGCTCAGTAAGCTATGGCATGTCGATCACTGCGCTAGGTAGAGAAAGAAAAGTGTGTGCAGTATATCCAGTAAACAAACTTAGCTGTTTTTTCACCAAATTTGGTCCCCATAAAGGACTAGTGTTGAAAGCAACGCTTTTTCGGCAATAAGGGTGTTGTGCAGCAATTCAAGGTGGTGAAAATTATTTTAGCACTAGAGAAATGGATAGTAAAATATTTCAGAGCGCTTGAACATCTCAGGTTTAACCGAAATATAAATGTATTTAGAATATTTATTAACCGACTTCCAAAAAAGGAGGAGGTTATCAGTTCGTCGGAATATTTTTTTTTTTTTTTTTTGTTGTATGTATGTTACCGCATAACTTTTGACCACGTCAACCGATTTCGATTTGCATCGGAAAGGTAGTGTCTCAGAGGTGGTCCCATACAAATCTGGTTAAGATCCGATCAGCGGATCATGAGATATATATATATATATTTTTTTTTATATGGGAGTTGATGTCGGTTTTTTTTTGCTAAAAATTACTTGTTATTTTACTGTGTCGAAGTTATGGGAGCGATTTATTCACATGGAATTGGAAACAGGGCTGATGATATACTTTAAATAAATTGTGAATCTGCGAAAATATCTTTTCAGCATATGAATATACTTCTTAACTTTTTACGAAAATTTACATACAGGCTCGAGATTATGCCAGTAACTTTCAAATACAGTATATTTTGCTTAGCTGCACATCCTTCCTTGCACGAAAAACTTGTGCACGTAACCGAAAAAGGCACTTAAGCGAATTTTCTTTACTACTTCAATGAGGAAGGTATCCGAATCCCTATGAAACCAAATATTGGCGGAGCACTTACCATGTAGAAATTACTGCAAGCGAAATTTTTACCGAGTGTTATCTAATTATCTATATAACTACATAAATTGATAGCCATTTTCGTTGTTCTGCGAGATGAGCAAAATAAATAAAAGGTTGTAAAGTTAGGTAATTGTAGGGCCAGTGCAGGTAAACCTAATACTTTCATTGATAATATTGATAATATTGATTGATATTGATGATACTAGTCGCACAATTTTTAAGGCAGGTATCGCCAATGTGCAGGTTAACAGTTTTTTGGATATCTTCTTTAGTTTCCGAGTAATTGACTAAAATGTTTTCGGTAATTTGGTACAAATTACGTTAGTAATGCTGTCGTACTAAACTAATCAAGATCTTTCAAATAGCGTCATCTGTTTTTAAATATCTGCTTTAGTTTCCGACATATTCAGCCTTATCATGAGTTTAATTTTCTCGAACCGAGTCACCTTTTCACTTTTCGTTTCCGTGTATTCACTACGGGTGGGTGAAAAAAATTCTGGCGAAACTCACGATTAGGCTGATTAGTAAAATGCATCGCTAATTAACAAAAAAAGTTTAGCTTGTATATTTATCTCTCTAACGCATTAATTCTATATACGTCAAGACCAACGCCCGACGCCGTTATGTCTGTATTTAATAACGGCTCTATGACAAAATATTCAAGAAATGTGTTCGTAGATTTTTATTTACTTCATTTCATACATTAATATTGATCTGATTCTTTTTAATAAGTACCAGGAATAAATATTTAACAAAAAACTATTTCGCTTAAGCTGAACCAACTTTTAGTTGCTCGTAGCTAATTTTGGAAATATTTTCATAGACGGTAAATGCAACCCTGGTTGCATCATTAATGAGCTGAAAACCCAAAAAAAATAATTAAATTTGTGGATTGGAGCCTTTTGAAATGGCCTTTAGATACGGCAATGGAATTTCGACACTATTCAAGGAATCGCGAATATAAGTTGCCTTCCGTTTGGCATATTTGCGGATAAACCTTCAAAAAGTTAAAAAAAAAAAAATACTCCACCTTGTACACCAAAAAAATTTCTTTAAACTTTGTGCGGCAGTTTGTTGATCTTATCTTCACGGTTACCGAAATCACCAACCTCAACGTAGTGATTAGCCCTCTTGCGCCAGCCGCCGGTTGGTGTTGAGCTTGAATGGCCAGAGGAAGTTGGAGGCTTTCTTGAAGTGGGATCCAACAGTGAATATTTCGTGCGCCAAATAATCAACGCACTGAATATCGTGTGCTTTGCGCAATTTGCGTTCGATCACAAAGTTGTCAGAGATTGAGACACGTTGATGGTTGTGCTTGACAATTCCACGTTTGTAGATCAATTCACGAACTGATTTAAGATTTGGATAACCTCATGTGATATAGGGTTCGGCAATGCGTAACATATTAATGGTTCAATTTGATGAACAAACCGTGGTTAATGTGGCGAAAACGGAACAACAGTAAAACTTTACGCACTTTTGGTGCAACTTTGTTGATACCGCGGATACAGATCACAAAAGTCAATTTGTCTTCTGCAGGCACGTAGAATGGGCCGCGTTTCTTTGCCAGACGGCGCACAGTGCGTAATTTTGGCGATTTAGGGGAAGGAAAATCATAGCTCCCACAATTTTGACTCTAGAATATATTTTTTTTAGTTATGTACTTCTAATAGACTGTATAATTACGCTTTCAAAGGATGTGGGTGATTCCATAAGTCTAATATTTTATATGGGCATTTTCAGGGGAGGGTCTTTATAGTCAAAAATTAAAAGTGATATATCTCCGTTAGGTACATTGTTGCCGCGAATAATTTTTAGCGGTAGCCAAATTACGTTAAAAAAAGGGCTAAAAAAGAGCTAAAAAAGTCGTTGTGGCTAAAAATGGTAGCAAAATTTTTTTTACTTACATATACTTATATAAGTATACGCGCAAACATTTTCAGTAAGTAATGGTATAGAAAATCACTGAACTCTAGAAAAAATGCTCATACTTTATCTAACCAAAAACCTTTTTGTATAAAAGGGGAAGTATACGACACCAACTTGCTGGCTCCATCAAGTGATTGTACAATCAGGCTCGAATCATATAACTTACCAGCATGCTGGTACAACATTTATTTCTTTACAAATGAGGTCGAGGAAAGATCGAAATAATTGGAGCCGAAATTTCATAATTTTTATAACATTTTGTTAATTATTATTTTTTTTTTTTAATTCACAACTGCAATATCGTGAACTTAATCTTCCACAAACACGGCTTTGACCCATATAGTGCAAGAAATTTCCGCCAAAATACTTTTGACTTAGAAAATTGAGCTAATTTCACCACTCACGACACCAGCATGCTGGTAAAATCATACAATTTTCAAATAGTTTTTGAAGTCGCGCCAGCAGCTTGAACAATCACACCACAAGAACATACACGGTCAATCGACTTGATGGGCCATTTAACAAATTAAGCATATTAAGGGCCGTAAACTTATCTATTTTAAACTATAGTTAAATCGTTAATAGATAAGTTAACAGCCCTAACACTTTTACAGTATGTATGTATAAAATCTTAAGAAACATACAATACGTATATGTATACATGTCAGTCTTTCTTAGTTTAAAAATTCATCTCTTACATAAATGAAAAAAAAAATATTA